CTTCTAAGGGTCCTTTTGAAGAGTGTCAGTAAGAGTTCTAAGACCACAGTCCTTCCACATTCAAATTAGACTGGCAGTTGGACTTTCTCCTTAGTTTCTCCTGACTTTGAATACAATGTGATGTGACATATTCTGAGTTAATAGCTCAGCTCAGTCTTTAAAGTAAATGATCATAGTCGTAAATCTGGTCTTAACTGGGATTATTGTTTCTGTCTTTCATTTTCACATATTTTTAGTCCATTAGCTACAAGCCTAATGGCAGCTCCAGACACCAGTGTCCCTGTGAACATGCCTGTGATGGGATTGGGTCGTTTTACACATCCCTGGAGACAGTAAAACAAGTGACATCATCTGTTTATGTCAGGCAAAGGCAAATGACCTCATAGGGTGTAAACAGCAATATAAAAGTAATATAAAATTGGGGGCTGGAGAGATGGCTCAGCGATTAAGAACACTGGTTGTTCTTGCAGAAGACCCAGGTTCGAATCCTAGCACCCACATGGCAGGTAACAACTGTCCCTAACTCCAATCCCAGGGGATCCAACAGCCTCTTCTGACCTCCGTAGGCATTGTACAACATGGGTGCACTTACCTACATGCAGGCAATACATGCATACACATAAAATAAAAATAGTAAATAAAATATATTTTTAAAAAGTAATATAAAATTGTTTATATTTTATAAAATATAAACAGTAACTTGGCACTGAACATTTCAGATGCCTAATAACTTCCTAAGAATCAATTTCTACCTAATTTAACTTCTATCAACCACAAAGATAATCATCCAGCTACCTAACAGCAAAACTATACAACAACAAAAATACAACAACCTAACAACAAAATAATCAAAACTACATAATAAGAAAATTGTTCTGTGACTACTCATTCATAACCAGGTATTATTTTCAGAGAGAGTGGCTGTCTCCTCAAACTCTTTGCCAGGTTATTTAACTAGAAGTTGTTATATTTTGATTTATATATCATTTTAATTAGTATAGAATTCAATATTTACTCCCAAAGTACTTAGCCAAATAGATTTAACATAGCTTGCAGTAAGAAATGAAAAGGACCTTTCCTATAACGTGCAGTTTTCAACATAAATCGGGGCCATTTCATCGGGTGCCTCACACTTTGTTTCCTGAAGATGTTTTGACTGCTTGGGACATAAAGCAACAGACGCCTCTGGGTTGCTGTCAGTTGAAAGGTTTGCTCTTTAGGTTTCCCTGCTTATTTCCAAGCTGAAGTTGCTGGTTAGCCTCCAAACTGTCACAATCACTAATTCAATACCAACTTTCTGCCCATCTAGTGGATAGGAGACACTAGGAGGCATTGCTGCTCACCGCCCATGTGAGAGGCAAACCAAGAGCACTCTAACACATACTTGGAAGCCTCTTACACTAAGCCCTGTGTCTCTGAGGGGTCGGGCCCTCACAGATACTTAATTTAAGGAGGAAGTTTGTCAGTTTGAAGCCCATAATCACTCCAGAGTGGAAATCTGATTTGATTTATAGATTGGGTTTCTAAGATTTCATTTGGGAAAAACGGGTTTCTTTTAAAACTAAAAGGTCTCAGAAATATACAAGGCCTGCAAGTGATGGAGTTTAGTTTGTAGAGAACAAAATCTTGAATGGACTGTCTTCCTCCTCACGCAGGGCTGTGTCTGGGGAATGATCACCACAGAATGTCTTGTCAGTGTGATCCTGTGATGGGAACCATGTGACTTGGGGTTCTTCTTAGGCATTCTAGAACTGAAGAGCAAGTGTATGTACATGCTCAGTAGGACTTTGCTGTAGTCCTGTGGTTCTTGTGCCACTATAGCAGACACACTGCTTCTGTAAAATTACATCCAAGCCTGGACTACTACAATTGTAAAAGTTATATAAAATTGTTTCTCAGACATTTCACTTTTCAGAATTTCTTGGGCTGAGGAGGTGGCTCAGTAAAGTGCTTGCTGCCTTTTGCATGAGAGCCTGAGTTTGTGTCTCCAGCACCCATGTAAAAAGCTGGATGTGGTAGCACATGCCTGTAATCCCAGCACCAGAGGTGCAAAGACAAGAATTCCTGGTGCTCACTGGCTAGCCAGTGTAGCGGAGTTAGTGAGCTCCAGGGCAACTAAAAGACCCTGTAAAAAAAGATCACATGGAGAGTGATCGAGGAAGACATCCAGCATTGGCCTCTGGCCTCTACATGTGTACACACACACACACACACACACACACACACACACACACACACGAGAGAGAGAGAGAGAGAGAGAGAGAGAGAACTATTTATCATTTAAGTTTCATATATATTCACTTTACAAAGCTTTATTTTATGATAAATTGCTCATGTACTTTAGACTTACCTAGGTTACAATTTTATGACTGTATCTTCATCTCAGTGTTATGTTAACCTAATTGCAAGACGGGATTATTTGATATTGTGTCAGGATCTAAGTTACGAGGAATGTCTTGACTTTCCACTTGGGAGATTGGGATAGTCATAGATTGGGAACATAGGCCCTCCCTGCACTCCTGGAGGCCTAGGCTTGTCCCTCTTGGGATATCAAGAATAAATACAACTTTACATCCCAGCCCACAAAAAGTAAGAGAGAAAAGATAGAGGATGTGGGGATTGAAACAGTCACTTTTATTGTTAATAAAGCAGATAATTGTACTGTGATTTGTAGCTGGGCAAACAGGTCTCCTAAAAGTGAACTAGCTTATGTGATATATAATATATAAAAGGAATCTAGCTTATATAAAGCAGATGATACTGGAAGCTACAGGCTCTGCCCTGAAAGAGCAGAGTGCAGTGCATATTCTGTTCCTATAGGATGGTTTCAAAGAGAAAGAAACTGGCCTAAGCCAGAAATCACCATGTGGCCTTGGTTCACAACACTGTTAATGCCTCAGCGTGTTTTTCTAATGCCCCTAATTCAAAAGAAATGCCCACCATTTTTCTCTCTGCCTAGTATGGTAGGGCCAAATGTTTAACATACTAGGAAACTAGGTGCCTCACAAGTGGAAGTTTCCCACAGAATCTTTGTGGGTTTGCTCTTTGGCCTCAGCACATGGTTTAAGAAATAGATTCACTTTTGGAACCCAACAATAAAATTAAGCCTTTCCTAATCCTCCTGATAGAAGCCATGAGGAACCAAAACCACAACCAAAGTGGAGTCACCACCCACAGCACCAAAGTCACTCAGCTCAGAGGATTCTTCCAGCTGATGGACTGACTGTCCTAACAGACTAAACACACACATTAAGTATGTCCTCAAAGCTACCATCAGTGTTCATAGTAGCACATACCTCTCTGGGTGGAAAGGGAAAGTGAGATGATGGCGCCATGGGCATTTGCAGAATGTGTGTCTTCTGCGTGACCTGAGTCAGATATTATGAAGGCTGAGCATACTCTCATTTCCATTTGACTATATTGGATGTAGACTGTCAGTTCTCTGGAGCCTCTGAGCCTAGAGTTATTTGCCTGTGGCTTTAAAGTCTAAGGGCAGCATAATTTCCATTCTGAACACTGAACAGTTGGTTTGTTCATGTGTAGTGCTAACATGATGAAATGATCACTCCTTTATAAGGCAGACTTTCCATTAGTAATAAAAAAATAAATTAAGTGTTTCTAGGTATAAACAACCAAATAGATCCTGTGTGTGCCTTACATTTAAACCACAGAACATGCCCAGGCTACATTAGCAGCTTCATCAAGGGTACATTTCCCTCAGTCAGAGTGACCTCATCAGTAAAATCCCAGTTATGAACTGCCAAGTGTGGGAACAAACAAACAAAATCGAGAATTCAGTGCCTTCATATTAACATTCCCTTGACATCCTCAACATAGTCAAATGTCAGGGTATCTCCACTGTGAAAGTATTTATCCATGTCCTCCTGGCAGAGAGGGACTTGAAAACGAACCCTGGGAGCTTGCTCTAGGTTGTTGCTCTAGTCTGTTTCCATTGCTGTGACAAAACACTGGCCACTACCAACTCAAGGAGGAACGGGTTTCTCCAGGGTCACAGTTCATCACAGAGCCCAACGTAGGAACTCAGGACAGGAACCTGGAGGCAGGAGCAGAAGCACAGGCCATGGAGGAATGCTGCTTACTGGCTTGCTCCCCTGGCCCATGCTCAACCTGCTTCCTTATACAATACAGAACAACCTGCCTAGGGGTGGTACCACCCATAGTGAGCTGGGCCAGCCCACATCACTCAATAATCAAGAAGATGCCCCACAGACATGGCCACAGGCCAGTCCAATGGAGGCAGTTCCCCAACTGAGGCTCCCTCAACCCAGGTGTGCTAAGTTGACAACTAAAGCTATCCAGTGCAGCTGTCTTAAGAGGTAGGGACATGGACCAGAACATCAGCAGTGAGAAGGCTGTAGACACTGGTTGTGGACCCAGGAATACCTGTGACAGCAGGAACCTGCTCATTTCATGGGATATGCCAGCAGGACCATTCCTGTCTGGGACCATGGCAAGCTAGGGAAGACACACCCACCTGCTCTGTTGGCCACATCCGTTTCCCCTGGCTTTGCCCTGATGCCTCAGCCAGCCCTCTCAGCTCTGACCTCACTTTGAGGTCCCTCACCTGGGTGTCTTTTGAACTTACCATCATAGTCAACTTCGCTACTGTAGAATTCCTGACATGGGTGCTCCTTGGAGGCTCAGTTTCATTGTCAGTAAAATGGGGTTAATCTGTCAGATCTTACAGATCACTGGCTGGTCTCTTCCTCCAAAAGGAGGAAGATCGGTGCTTTGTTAGTAGCAAATGTAAAGCTTCTAGGGTTTTTTTCTCTTAATATTATGGTAGCGTCTTTGCAACTTTATGACATAGGCTAAATCTTTAAGTAGTTCTTTGCCTCATTTCTTCCCCTGAGTACCCAAGCAAGATCACGATCCATAAAAACCAAGGAGAATTAGCCCTTCTAATTTTCAGGAATCCATCTCCTGTGAAGTTTTAGAACTTACCTGCCTTGAAAACCCTGTCTCTGTTATCTCCACAGAGCCGAGACTGCAGGAGGTTGGGGCCTCCTGCTGAGGGAGAAGTCATCCAAGTCAAGTGGCCTGATGGTAAACTCTATGGGGCAAAGTATCTTGGATCAAATGTAGCCTACATGTACCAGGTAGGTGCTGCCCTCCCTGTGATGAGGAAATGCACAGGAGATGCTGGAGGGAGGCAGCATGGGAATGCTGATGATGGGAAAGCCACAGGAGTTCAGGTGCTGCTATTTTATAAGAGGCAGAGCATCTGTGTTTAATGGCCCAGGCTTCAACTTAAATGTTTTTTTACCTGGTTGGGCTCTGGGAATACCCAACATTTGGTGAATGGTTAGTTATAAGTGTGGTTCAACCACTAGATGAGAGGCTGTCTTCCTGCAGTTCAGTTATATGAAAAGAGACTAACGGATTCTTTCATCTTGCCTTAAGCCAGAACGAAGGGCTGAGGGTATGGCTCAGTGGCATAGCACTCGCCTTGCCTATGGAAGGCTCTGGGTTTGATCTTCAATCCCACAGAAAAAAAAAGGGTTGTAGGGGAGATAACATTCATTTACCAATCTGATATTATGTTACTTATCATTGTGTATTTTGGTGGCTGTTCAGCCATCAGCCCCTGAGTTGATTTCTTTGGCTGGAGAATCATAACTTCCTGGTCATCTCGGTGAAACCTGCACACATTGGCACAGCTAATGTTCCAAGGAACTGGTGGTTATCATCTACTCAATTTTAAAGGAGTGATTGGTTAGAGAAAAGGGCAGCTATCACATAGGCATGCTCAGTAGGGAACCCAGCATGGTATAGTATTAGAGAGTATATGGTTAAAATTAGAGGTTTTCTATTTCTACTTGAAATAAGAATAAGTTAAACTCACAAAAGAGAAGCAATGTGGTAATCACATGTGAAATTATAGTCCTCAGAAAGCTTCAAAGGGAACTTTTAGAGAAAGATTTACTGTCACTTATATGTACTTGTGTATATCTATGTTAGTATATGCTACATGTGTGTAGGTATTTGCAAACCCAGCAGAGGGCATCAGATCTCATGGATCTAAAGTTACAGGGGGCTGTGAGATGCCAGACATAGGAGCTAGGAACCCAACTCGGGTCTCTCAAAGAGCAGCAAGTGCTCTTAACCACTGAGCCATCTCTCCAGCCGCCAAAAGGAGCATTTTTATTAGAAGTAATATATTTTCAATAATACTGTGTCAGAAATCAACATTCAAGAGTAAATGGTACAGCAGAAACAGAAAAAGCAAGCTGGTTCAGGCCTGATAAATTGAAAAACAGCTTAAGAATGATAAGATTCCAGTTGCAGTGGAGAAAGTGATCATAGACTGATAAGGGGCAGGGCCTTAAATGAAAGAGCAACTTGCAAGATGCCGTGCCAGGAGGTGGACCACAATGTAAGTAAAGGTGTTTAATGAAGTTTGGAAAAACAGGAGAATATCTTTTTGTGGTCTAGGAAATTCCAAAAAGAGTAGCAAGAGGAGGATTTACATAGCATGTGCGGCGCAGGCTGTTTTCCCCCTTGCATATGTATGTTCCGATCATGTACATGTGCCATGGCTGCTTCCACCCACTGAATATGTCTGTTCTCATTATGTACAATAGCGTCTGGGCTAAAGCTTCATTACATCATACTGTCCACAGTTAAGCAGACCTCACAAACAGGCTGATGATACTGGAGATGGGGACTGGAGAGCTGGCTCAGCAGTTCAGCGTACAGTGTGTTCTTGCAGAGGACCGCTGTTTCGTTCCTAGCACCCACATGGTGGCTAACAACGACCTGTAACTACAGTTCCTGGGGATCCTGTCATCTTCTGGCCTCCATAGGCAAAACTGTCATATACATAAAATAAGCCTAAAAAGTAAATCTATTTAAAAATATATCATTTAAAAAAAATAGAGATTACTGGAGAAGCATTGATGCATCATTGGAGACAAAACAAGATGTTAAACCACAGGAGCAAAAGTGAGGCTTGTTACATGAAGCAAAGCTATTTGCTACATGGAAAGTATCATAGATGAGAACATGCTAAAATCCAGGCTAATTAGCAGTCAGTGTATCAGCCCCCATTGAATTATGATGCCTAGTGACATAAAGCTCTGGGCATATTTATAGACTCCATGAAGAAGTTACAACGGGTATTAAAAATGTCTCTTGAGTACAGGTACTATAAAATTCCTATTAAGCCAAATAGCCTTTTGAGATCACTTTGTGCTTTCTGTCTTTCAGTTTTATCCCTGAATACTCAAAGACATTCATAAAAATACATAGAAACAAATACCTGGCTCACCATGCTAAAAATACTGTGTGTGTGTGTGTGTGTGTGTGTGTTTTATTGACTCCTGTTATATAAATAATGGGGAAAAAGGTTCAGTAAGCAAATTTTTGCTTTTTTTTTTTAAGGAAAAGAGCAACTATATATAAAGCTGGTAAAGAGAAGGGTTGGAAATTATCCAATTTCTCTCCTAACTAGAGTACTCACTGGCAGTGAAGTTTTGCAGAGCTGGAGATGTGAAGCCTAGACAAATTAGCACACTTAGCCACCCTAATCACATTGTTTTAGTAAAACTGTCTTTTTCTCTTCAGATTATCAAATGATTTAAAAAAAAAAACACAAAGGAAAGTAGTAACAAGTAGTTCTGACTATGCTATTAAATGTAAATTTAATGGCATTTTGGGCTTACTAAATTCAAAAGAAACCATTGTGTAAACAGAACAAGGCCAGGAAGAGCCCTGTTTTTATTCTCAGTCTCCCAGGGACGAGTAACAAAGTTGTTTTTATGATGGAGACCTGATTTCACCATATAATACAGCTGTATCTTATGTCAGCATTACATGGATTTAAGTTTAATTTTAAAAAGAAAAACATGAACACCAGGCATGGTGGCACATACCTTTAACCTCAGCACTCAGGAGGAAGAAGCAAGTGGATCTCTGAGATGGAGGATAGTCTGGTCTACATAGTGAGTTCCAGACCAACTGGGGCTATAGGGAGATCCCAGTAGAAGTGGGAGGAGGAAGTGGGGGAGGGAGGGAGGGAGGAAGGAGAAACCATGCTTAATTACATGTTCCTATCTTTATTTTTTTTTTTGAAATATCACAGATTTTGTTTTTAACTTGGGACCACTGTAGACCTTGAATCATAAGTACCAGTGTATTTTCTTTTTGTAAGAGTGAAGAATTCAGCAAAACAGATCCCAAGTGGGTTAAGAGCTAGAGCACATCAGGTGTCCTTTTATTCCACCAAGCGCGTTTTCTTTGAAAAGGCGTGGTGTTGGAATATACCTGTGCCCGCTGTCCAGGCTTCTGCTCAGCCAGCATTATCCACTTTGTCTGATTAAGTCTCTGAAAGGATTGGAAACCCATTAATTATTTGCTGCCATCTGTCTAATATGAAAAAAAAAGAGTTTTGAACATTTTCCTTTTAGAAGGTATTGTATTTTCGCATCCTATGGGGGTGCTATACTCTGAGGCTGAGGAACTGGATTTTTTCTGGCCTAAAAAATTTTTAAAGTGGGTTGGTGAGATGGCAGAGACTGCTAGCCATGAGGACTTGCCAACATGCCGCTTGATCTGCTTACTCAGATTTTCCGTCAGTTCCTGCAGAGTCTGTGGAAGCACAGCCCTTGTCACTGGCTCATTGAGCAGTCACAGGAGAACACAGGCAGGCAGTCTTACCAGCTGATGCAGTATTCTCAGACAAGACCTGTACAACATTTTTTATAACAGCTGAGATATATCAAGGCTGTGCAGTAGTAAGTTACTGTATTTCTGAACCTCACGGGGGATACAAGTATAGTACGTAAGTGGCTTTTACTACATTTTAGCACAGACTGCTGGAAAAAAAAATCATTTTTTCTGTTAACTGCAGTCAGCCTCCCACCAAATACTAGTGGGGATAAAGGAAAAATAAAAACAAGGACACATCCATACTGACAGGTACACAAAACACAAGAGCAAAAAAAGAAAAAAGAAGAATGAGAAAATAAAGCACTTGTCAGCTCACAACCTCATGACACATTAGTATCAGAAACCAAAGATGACAGAATAACCGAAATGCCCGAAAAGTATTTCAGAACCCTCCTAATACAAAGGACCAGTGATCACATGAAGAACTAGAAACAACAGATGAATGAAGTAAGAAACTCAGTTCAGGACCTAGATAAGAAACTTACCAAAGTACAAAAAAAAAAAAAAAAAATGTCAGTAATTTGGAAGAAATATTCAACAAGGAGAAGGAGCTAAACAGAAATGCTGGAAATGTGCCTGCCAGTTCAGTTACGGGATAGAACAGAACAAAATGCTGTGGGCATCAGCATACAACACCAAGCAGAAGAATGAATACTAGTGAAAGAGGGCACGGCTAAGGCAGTATGACGTTTGGTTGCATGTAGGCAAAAAATGAGCATTATCAAAACACTCAACTCTGAGATATGTTCAGGAGACCAATCTTAAGAATCCACAGGGCGGAAAACAGAGCTGAGATTAAAGATATAGGCAGTTTATTCAAGTGAATCATAGCAAAAAAAAAATTCTCAAAGCTAGAGAAGGAAATGGGCTTCCAAACACAAGGCATTTGGAGACACAAGTAGAGAGCACCAGAGAACTCTGTGACATGTCACAGTCGATGTGAAAAATACAAAACAAGGAAGTAGTGTTAAAGGTTGTAAGTGAAAAAATACTAACTCAACCTACAAAGACAAATATCAGAAGAATACCAGCTCCTTCATCACTAACCCCAAAAGCCAGCAATGCATAAAATGATTTATTTCAAGTCCTGACAGTAAAAAATGGCCAACCAACATGACTTTTTCCAGAAATTTTTTTTTAAGTTCCCAACACCCACATGGCAGCTAACAACTGTCCATAACTCCAGTTCCAGGGGATCCAATGCCCTCTTCTGACCTCCATGGGCACTGCACGACCTGAGTGGAGTTAAATACATGCAGGCAATACACTCATACACATAAAACAAAAATAATAAAGTATTTTTTTAAAGCATAAACTAAGGTAATTCATGACAGAAAATACCAGAAGAAATACTATGTGCAGAAACAGGATTAATTCTCAATCATGAAAGTAAAGGAAAGACTAAATTTTGTGTGAAGGATGGATGAACAGAGAAGAGCCAGGAAGAATACTTGTCAACATAGAAAACCAGCAAATTCCTAATATAGGGAGGGAAGAAGCCAGCTAATGACAGTCTAACTAGCAAGAGCAACAGCCAGCAGAACCATGGAATTAGCAAACCCACCTCAGTAATAGCAGTAAATGCATATGTCTTCACTTCACCATTTAAAAGACCCAGACTAGCTAATTGAAGTAAAAACCAAGACCTAACCATCTGTTGCCTCCAAAACACATCTCACTGATACCCACACTCACTCAGAGTCAAAGGATGGAAGTAAACCTATCAGGTGAACAGAAGCTGAGAAAAACTGGCATAGATATTGTGATTCCTGATAAAGTAGACTTCAAAATTATAAGAGCCAAAGACAGCCACTTCGTGATAATAAAAGAAGCACTTTGTAAAAAACATATATTAACTGTAAATATATGTGTACTAAATATCAGGGCTTCTAATTTCAGAAAGCACAAAAGGGGCTGAAAGGCGGGTAGATCATCCAAAGTAAAAATTAACAAATTTCAGAATTAAAGTACACTATAGATCAATTGGACTTAATAGATAGCTACAGAATATCTACAGAATATTCAATCCCGCAGCTAAGGAATACATATTCTTCCCAACAGTCCATGGAACGTTCTCTAAACTAGGGTATATTGACTATAATACAAGCCTTAATAAATATGAAAGAATAAAAATAATTTCTAGACTCAATAGATAAATAGTAGAATAAAATGAGAAATCAGCCACAGGAAGTTCAGGTACTTGAAGACTGAACAGTTCATGCTTGGCTTTTTTGGTTTGTTTGTTTTTTTCAGTAATGCATGTGCCTATCTGCATGTTTGTACCTATGTAAGTGTATGCTCACATGTCTGGGCAAGTGCCCACAGCAGCCAGAGGAGAGCAATGGATCCCTTGCAGCCAGAGTTACAGGCAGTTGTGAGCCACCCGATGTGGGTGCTGAGATTCAAATGGTTCTTTGTGATTGAGCAGTTAGTGTCCTTAGCTGTGGAGCCATTTCTCCAACCCCACAGTACACTCAAATGAAAAGTGGGTCTTAGAAGAAATCAGAAGAAAATTCAAAGTTCCCAGAATCAAATAAAGTTAGCACAATTTGTCAGAACCTCAGGGATACCACTAATACTGTTATAAGCAAAAAGCTTATTAGAGCTTATTAAAAAATCAGAACTCAAATAACCTAAACACATGCATCAAGTTCTTAGAAAAACAAGAACAAGACAAATCCAAAAGCCAGCAGGTGGCAGGAAACACTAAGATTTAAAAATCAGGGCAGAAATCATTGAAATGGAAACTAAAAATACAGTATGTAAAATCAATCAAGGAAAGAGTTGCCTCTTAGGAAAGGCAAATGAGATTAACAGACTTCTAGTAAACTAATGAGAAAAGACATAGAGATTTTTTTTAATTAAAAAAAAAAAGGTAGTTACTACAGATCAGTGAAATCCAAAGATTCCAGAGGACCATTAGAGAATACTGTAAAAATTTATATTCCAAAAAGTTGGAAAATCTGATAGAAAAGGATAAATGCATGGACCCATGACCTGTGAAAATTAAACAGTGCCATTGAAGCAGTAATAAAGAGTCTCACAAAAGAGACCATGACTAGGCAAATTCATTGCCCAATTCTACCAAAATTTCAATGAAACACCAATTCTCAGCCGTTTCACAAAAGTATAAAGGAAAGAAATCATACAAATTCTCATAACAAAACCAGATTTTTCCTGATACCAAAATTGGATAAGTATACACAAAAAAGAAAACAATAGATCAATTTCCTTAGTAAACAGATACAGTAATTCATGATAAAATAGTTGCAAGTTTAATTTAAGAACACATTAAGAGCAGTTCATACACCATAACCAAGTTGGTTTCAGGGATGCAAAGTTGGTTCAAAATATGCAAATTAGTAAATGTAATACAACACATATATGCAGTCAAGGACAGAAGTCACATGATTTTAGTAGATAAAGAAAAGGACTTTGATAAGGTTGATCATCTCTTCTTGACCAAAATCCCTAAAGAAATTAGGAATAGAAGGAGTATATTATCAACCTAAAAAAAGCTATATGCAAGAAACCTATAGCCAACATTACACTAACTGCAGAAAAATGAAAAGCATTTTCTCAAAATCCATAATGAGACAAGGAAAGTTGCCTACTCTCTCTGCTTTCATTCATTTAGTTCTGGGAATATTAGTTACCCCAGTAAGTCAAGAGAAAGAAATGAAAAGTACAGATAGGAAAGGAAGAAGTCAAATTCTGTGTTTGCAGACATGATCCTATACTTAAAAGACCTTAATATTTCACCAGAAACAATGTTAGGCTTGATAAATACTTTCAGCAAAGTAGTACAGCACAAAATCAACATGTAAAAACCTTTATGTATACCAATAACAACTCTACTAAAAAGCATCAGTTAAAAAAAAAAAAATTCACCTTCACAGTAACTTCAGAAAAAAATAGGAATAAACCTAACCAAAGAGGTGAAAGACCTCTAAAACGAAGACCTTAAAATACTGAAGAAAGAAATTGAACAAAATATTAGAAGATGGAATAATCTCCCATGTGCAACTGGCAGAATTAATATTGTGAAAATAGCTATCTTTACCAAAAGCAAATCTATAGACCCAACACAATTCCCATCAAAATTTCAGGCACTTTTTTCATAGAACTAGGGAAAAAAAAAATCCTTAAATTCATGTGAAAGCACAGAATGCTTCATACAGCCAAAGGAGCAATGCTGGAAGGATCACAAGACCTGATTTCAAGCTATGCCACAGAGCCATGGTAGCAAAAACCATATAGTACATCTACAAAAAAAACACATGTAGGCCAATGAACTCCAGTAGAGGATCCAAAACCCATACATGTACAGCCATCTAATTTTCAACAAAGGTATCAAAAACATACATTGGACCAAAGACAGCGTCTTCAACAGATGAGGCTGGGAAGCATTGGTATCCACATATCGATGGAGGGAGTTAGACCCATTTCTCTCTGCACAAAAATCACTTCCAAATGGATCAAGGACCTTCGTGTAAAACCTGAAACTTTGAAATTGCTGGAGGAACACAGAGGTAAAGCTCTTGAAGATACAGGCATAGAAAAGGACTTTCTTAAAAGAACTCCAGTAGCACTGGAAATAATCACATGAATTGACAAATGGAGTTAACGTGAAACTGAAAAGTTGCTGCACAGCAAAGGAAACTTATCTGAAGAGACAGCCTACAGAATGAAATAAAAAGTACGTATACATCAGATGAGGATTAAGATCTAGAATACCTCAAGAACAGCAAAATTAAACACCAAAAACAATACCCATAAATTTCAGTCAGTAACTGTGCTACTAAAGTGAAATGATGATTCTCAAATGAAGACGTACAAATGCCCGGTATAGATTTGGAAAAATCTTCAACATCTGAGGTGTCATGGAAATAAATGCATATTAAAACCAGTTTGAGATTCTACTTCATCCTGATTAGAATGGTTATTGTCAATCAATCAAAGAACAGCACTTACTGGTGAGGATGTGGGAAAAGAAAAACTCTTACACGCTGCTGGTGGGGCCAATAAAGTGGTACAGCTACTGTGGAAGTCAGGATGGAGGCGCCTTACAGAACTTAAAGTAGAAGTGATGCATGAACCACCTTTACCATTCCTGGGCCATATCTCTGAAAGACTCGGAAGGGATTAAAAAGAGGGCAATGGAGTACATAAAAGCTGAAGGAAGTTATTTAGGGGGATGAAAGGGACAGCAAAAAGAAGACGGGAATGGGAGAACGCAAATAACAACCAAATGTATCAGAGTGTTTGTATAAAAGTGTTATAATGACACCCATTACTTTGTATGCTAACTGTAAAGAGTCATTAAAAATAAAAAGCTTCAAGAGTTAAAGCTCTATGAGAACTTAAAGTTACTTTATCAGAAACAGCCTCATTCCTTCCTCAGAGTGGAGAGGTTCTCCCAGGTATGTAGTCAGAGCCTCTTAAACAGACATGGTGCTGACAAATGAGCCTGTCTTAATGCTAGATTTGTCAGTGTCTCTTTTTCTGATAAATCATCTAATCTGCCCTCATTGTCTGGTTTTAAGGGATATAAATTTCGTGGCTCACATTTCAATCTGTCCTGTTCAAGAATCTTGAGTGTTTTCAAGTTAATTAATTAATTTATTTATTGGCATATCTAATTAAAACTTTAAAAATGATCAACGCATGTTTGGTTTTAATACATGTCATGACATGTTATGTTTATTAGGTTGAGTTTGAAGATGGATCTCAAATAGCAATGAAGAGAGAAGATATATACACCTTAGATGAAGAGTTACCCAAGAGGGTGAAGGCTCGTTTTGTAAGTGCAGACTTTCACCAGTGAAGTCCTGATCCCCTCCCTTTGCTTTCCCATGCCCAGCAAGAAACATGCTTGGGCTTTTGGTTAATTTTGAAGAAAGCCAATGTGATTTTTTTCCCTGTTGAAACCTGCTGAATACTAGCTTCAAATCTGGTCCAAAGTAGGAAAACAAGTGTGCTCACAGCTTGCTTTTCTTCCAATGAGATCAAATGGCAGTTCTTTGTGTTATCATTTATTGACACAAAAGAATAGTGATTAAATTGTCCTCTCTATGAAACACTGGGGCATACAGAGGTAATAGGGTATTCACTCCCCTGTTAGCAGAAGCCACATTAAAAGGAAGATTCACCAGTAGATTACAGAGGTGTCAGCATTAGAGATGTCTCCAGTTACCTTAGCTTGTGTTAAGTCCTGTATTATAAAATTACTCCGTGTTTATGCTCTCACTTTGTAATAAAAGGGGCAAACCATGCCAGAATACCAGCAGCAAGAACTCTAAAGACACTCAGTACACGTCATTAAGAGTTAAGTAACCATAGATAATCTAAACTGAAATTATTTTTTAAGTAATTAAAAACTTAATTTAAAATAATAACCTAAAAAAATTTAGGTTTCATATTCTTATGTCAGAAAACATTTAGCATACCATGAAATGAGTCCATTTTACTCATTTAGAATTCTATCTCTGAAATCACATCTCTGAAATCTGTGAATGGGAGTTTCTTCTCAACAAATTATCCTCTCTTCCATGCATGTTTCTATGTCCTCTTGCAGTGACAGAGTTACAATAGAGTATTTAGTTATTTCGGGAAACCAAGAGCTCCTTTCAGTGGTTAGTTGAATATTCAGTTCTTTTCCTATCAGGTGAGAGAGACCCTGATCTCAGGGAACTTGCAGCACCTGTGCACTAACAGCTCCTCAGCTGCACCTCAAGAAGAAGGACTTCCAAAGTAAAATAATCAAGAGACCCAGCAGCAGCACTGCTGCTCACCCAGGGGGAATGAGGCATTAGGGGACCTGCACACCCTCATGGCCAGCAGAAAGAGAAAAGTCAGTGTACCTGTTGTAAAGACAAAATCCCCTAAAACTTGGATAACATGTCAGTGTTTTAAATAGAGGCTGGAGAGGTGGCCTAGTAGCTAAGAGCACTTACTGCTGTTGTAGAGGACCTGGATTGGGTTTCCAGCACCCACATGGGGCCTCACAACGACTGGTAACTCTAGTTCTGGGGGATCTGATGCCACCTTCTGGCCTCCACAGACACTGCACACACATAATACACTTACATGCAGATAAAACCTCAAACACATAAAAATGAAAATAATAGATGTGATTGCAATTCCATGGTGCCTCCCCAGGTATTTTCAAACACGGTTCCTCAGGGTTGTGTTGTGTTTTAATTCTCAATTTTTTTTCAAGTTTTTTGAGATAGGGTTTCGTGTAATTTAGCTGGCCTTTAATTCACTATGTAGCCAAGAATAGCCTTGAATTCCTGGACCTCCTCCTGCCGCCTCCCACATGCTGGGATTATAAGCATGTGCCAACATGCCTGGCTTCTTCAAGAACATTTTCCAATTTAAAAAACAATGAAATAATGCACATTCACCGAGTGTAGCATGTTATGCCAAAGAGCTGATCCTGGTAGGAAATCTCAGGAATTCAGGCCAGGTCCCCACCTCCAGTTTGCCATCTCTGTTGTTTCTAGATCAAAGACTGTGATACCCTTCAGTCAGTAACCTTACATTCCTTCCTGTGGGTGACTACCTCTCTGCCCCTAAGGTTGACTGAGTTATTTTTCCAGTTGGGGAAACACATCTAATTGGAAAACTCATTGTTGGAAAGTATTTTATGGTTAAGGAGTCTTTTGGTTTGAGAAGATAGATAAACAGTTCTCATCACTGGGCCTGCATGTTTTAATGGCTTTGCCTCCCTCAGATTCATGCTGGCTGGGGAAAAAAGTTTCAAAGGCATCAGCAGACCACCTGGAGGTTGTGCAGGTCTTTTTCCATTCTCTTCAGATGGCCCCATTACCTTTTACTGTCTCACAGAATAACTATGGCAACTATGATTGCATAATTAGCTAAAGCTCCTGATAAACTGGCTTTAGTATTGTGTTTAAGAGGCTGACTTCTCCCTCAGTGGCCACACTTTCATAGATGTTTTGTTTTCTCCTTTTATAACTTTAGCACTTAAAAAGTGAAATATTACTCAGAGGAAGTGCTTCCCAAGAGCAAAGGAAACAAAATGTTTTCTCCTAGTGACAGAGCGCCAGCCTACCTATCAACGCCTCGGTTTCCTTCCCAAGTGAAAGCAGGCAGTATATAGGCAACCCTGGCTCCCCTGCATAACTGTCTTGTGATCTGGCAGAAAATATACAAGCTGCCCACTTGTGCCATTTCCAGTATTCAGTCTTCCTATGTCTTTCCCTTGTTTTTCTCTTCATAATGGAAGAGAACTTTGTCACCAACCAAAAGAACTGATCTCAGTGACACAATGGGGTATGCTATACCTTGCTGTCATGAGAAGTCATCCACCTTTCTTAAAACAATTGGGAATATTTTCTTGGAATATATTCTAGTTATAAAATAGTAGGGAATCAGGAATCAAATTGGACTGTGGGCTTGGGCTTCACCTGAGTATCTCAGAAATAGCCTGTGCTCTTACTAAGCAGATACTAGGTAGTAACTGATTTCTGGGCATGTTACTCCATGTTGGAATATATAAAATTTTATATAATTCCTAATATCCATCACCTTAAGAAATACCTGATGGAAAAGTACATTCCCTGTCCCTGATCTCAGCCACCACCTTCATTTCACTGCATTCATGTGCAGGGCTCACAGAAATTTCTAGTTTGTCCATGGCAGAGACTCTTCCATGGAAGTGAAACAGTGTGCTCCAAAGAGAAGTATGAGACCCTGAGCCAGTGCAATGAGGCTAGGAATGTGAGCAGTGTAGCCTGCTCAGAGAAAGAGATAATCATCTTGGAAGATTATAAACAGGTACATGTAGCCCTCTGTAGTCATGTAGTCAGAGTGTTCTAGGAGATTTCTATTTTCTAGTGGTTCATTTGGGAGTGCAGCATTTTTTGCAGTGGTTCAAAAGAAGTGTGAGGGCCTGCACACAGGATCGGGACTTTAAAGTAGAGCAGGAGTCCAGGACAAGGTGGGAAAAGGGGGTAGTTCACAGTACCATTAACTTTCCGACAACTGACTGGACAGAAGACCATGATATCAACATTCAGGAAATGTAAGAAGTACCAGGATTGGGAAGTCTTTGAATTCCGTTTCTCACGGGGTAGATAATTTGAAGCTCAAGCCTCTGAGGCAGACAATCTGAAGGGCCTAATGGGCATGTAGGTCTGGTGCAAGAGATCCCAGCCACAGTGGGAAATGCAAATGTCCTTGGAGTGTGCATAGGTATTAAAGCCAGGAATGTGGGCCCAGCAGCCCCAGAGTTGAGTAGATAAGACAGTGAAGGCCTGGAACGTCAAAAGTAAGCTCCATGTGGCCAGTACAGTAGTTAAGGGACAGAGCTGCTATAAGAATCCTGAAAGAGGGCTGGAGGGATAGCATAGCCGTTAAAGGCTAAGGCTAACAACCAAAAAATAAAAGAATCTGGAACTATGACATTAACCAGACCAGCTTCCGTGAAATGGGGTGGGGCAGAGTCTCAAAGATAGATAAGATTCAGAGTGAATTGGAGATGACTATTGTCAAACTTACCAAAACTGGGTTGGGTAAGAGCCAAGTGGAGATGACCGAGCACACCTCAAAATGAAGAGGCTTTAGTTTTGTTTTTGTTTGGGGGGGACATCTTTGGCTGGTGGAAAAACTGGAACTAAATGGAGCCACACATCTCTACCAGCTGATGTCGGTGAGACCCAGCTGGTTCAGCATCTGGGGCTGAAGCCCCCTACCCTGTGTCCCCGGCCTCAGCTGCCTGATCAGATCCACATCTAGTCCTGTAGTAGTGACAGATCCTTCTGCTTTTAGTCCACAGCCTCTGACATGCGATTTGAAGACACTTTTTATGGTGCAGACATAATCCAAGGGGAGAGGAAGAGGCAGCGCGTGCTGAGCTCCAGATTCAAAAACGAGTACGTGGATGACCCCGTGTATCGCACTTTTCTGAAGAGCTCTTTCCAGAAGAAGTGTCAGAAGAGACAGTAGTCAGCGTACGTTGCTGCAGCAGCCGAGCATGTCAGACCAGAAGAGGAAAGAAGGGGCAGCCTGTGTCGTGGCGAGACCACGTTGCCCTGTGTTTCACTGAGGTGCATGGTGTGTGAATCTCTGACAGCGGTGATAAATCAGGTTTCCAGAGTTGGTTACCAAACAGAACAGACATATTAGTTACTTCTATAATCTGGTCATCCCTTAGTCTTTTCTTTGATCCCAAAGAACTTTTCTATGTGAAGGGAAATAATATTGAATGACTCACTAGAAAAAGCTACTGCCAGAGAAGAGGTAGGCTATCTGTGGCTCAGATCCCTTCTCAGGGAACATATGGAGACTTCTCTCCCTCAGCTCCTGTCAGTAGGAGGTTACCCAAGAGGGTGGGTGATAATTTATATATTTTCCACCGTCAGGGAAGGACTCTCACTTGTTGAAGTGGCAGTTTTTTTATAAGATGTTTTTAAAACACAAATGGCATATATGGTAATGGGATCTGCCTGTGTGCAGTCCGTATTCCCTTGTACAGAACTTTTCCATTTTTTTTTTATACTCTTAATACTTTTGATTGTGTCTAATGAGAATAGAGTGGGCCTTTGTGAGATGAAATTTTTGGCTCTTGAAGGGGAATTCTTATGAAGTCAATGGGAATTTTATATTTAAAGATGGAGCTCTGGGCCTGTTATTTTTTAACACTTTTCATAATTCCTGTTCTGAGTAGATATTTATAAGATATATATTTCTTTCATTATGTGTTTGTAAAATTCAAATTTAAATAAATATGCTTTAATGCATAGTTTTGAACTAATGTAACATGATTTTTTTTCCAAAACAGCCTGAAAATGTACTAGTGTTTAAAAATAAAGATTACCATTTTCTCCTATCCTGTCTTCTACCTTGCTTATTTGTCTGGGTTTAAGCCAAGAGATAGACAAATTTTGGACAAGCTAGTGGTACACACTCATAATCTCAGTGTTGGGGATGCTGTTGTATGATGGTTTCCTCCAAACTGAAACAATTCCCTCTTGGATGGAAGGAGAAGGCCCTTGAGAATCAGAAGGTAAACAATAGGTCAGTTGTCTGGGAAAGCAGAAGGTTGGGAGGCTGGGAAGGCCCCTCCCCAGATTTACAGGAATAAACAACTGTGGGGAGGGAGACTGACCAGCAGAGTTGCAAAGGAGAAATTCTCAGACTGTCTGCAGGTTGTTGAGAAAGGTGCAGGGTTGCAGGTAGTGTGGAGGTGGCCTTCAGGATGCAGCAGCTCTTGAGTCATCTCTCCTCCTTGTGAATAACCCTTCACCATATTCCTGTTAGTAACCCTAGTAAAACGCCTTGGTTCACTAAGCTGAACACTGGTGCAATCACTGCTGTGATTTGTCACAGGCTCCCTTCTTGGTGTGGGTAGAGTGTGTGCTGCATCTCCCCAGAAAGTCTGTTACACGACAGAGGCTAAGGCAGGGCTACAGAAAAAGACCCCGTCTCAATAAAAAACAAAAACAAGTTTGGTTGGGAACGCTTGTCAAGACATTTTTGTTACACAGGTTTTTCAGGCCCTCCTATCACTGACTGCTGTGAGCGCCTTTGTAGCCATATCATAGCTTTCCTCACTCCTAGGCCTTCAGCCATTGAGACCCATGGTTCTTTACCATTGGAAGGATCTTTGAGAGTCCTCCGAGTTCCCTGCTTTATTTTACAAATGAAGAGTGCAAACCTGCTGGGAAAGGGTGGTGCAAGGCCACACAGTCCTTAGTGTCTGCTGAAGTCTATGCTGCAGTACAAATATGCACCAACTTCCTCTGGCCTGCTCCAATTTGGGGGCATTTAGTTGCCAATAGATCTTGAATTCGGCTAATTTGTGCTGGACTTGACTTGAGCTAGGTCACACAACTGCTTCCTGCGCCTTCCAATAGGCTAGTCTGCATAATCTCATTGTGGTAGAGGCAGAAGAGCATGTAGACCTGGCTTAAGTAGTTTCTCTCTGAGAAGACCCCATGGCCAAGATCCCAGAACTGTGGATAGTGGGCATTTCGCATTCAGGACAAAAGGTACAGTGAATCCTGTTAATGAGTAGAAAGTAAGATGCCAGACCCACAACGACAGCCACAACTGAGACTGATTCTCCAGACTGCACACTGAGCGGTCATTTTCCAGTGCCTCATGGCTGACCCCAAGCCTGGGAGAGAGGCCACCAGCCTGATTTCACAGGGACTGACTACTCCTCCGCTAGTGTAGTCATTTATTTTATTGAGTCTTCAAGCTTGAGTTTTCCGTCTTAAGGTTTTAAATGGAACTGACTTGCTCTTTTTACAATAGGCCAGGAAAGTAGGCCTGTATAAGGCATTAAGAGCAATTAATCTAAATAGGATCATTTGGTCTGTGCAAGCTTGCCTGTCAGCAAGATTTTTGATTGGCTGCCACAGGGAAAAAATGCACAGAGCCTTATGTGATCTCAAGCTGTTCTTTATAGTCTCACTTAAGAAATGTTCCTGTAACCAAGAACAGCTGTATATGGTCCTTGCCAAAAGCCCTGACCAAGGTACACTCACTCTGGAGAATGGGATCTTGGTTCACCAAATTCTGCACAAAGGGGCTGTTAACTCTATGTCACCTGACAGAACATTAAATCTGTTTCACTTATTGTATGACACCTCAATTCTAATTTTAATTTCTTTGCATTACACTAACTGCATTTTCAGTGTGTATTTGTAGCACCCAAATCAGTTGAAGTCCTCCTAATATTAAAAAAAAATCACTCATCTATGATAATTCTAATGTAATACTAATTGCAAGCTCTTTCTCTGGAGGTTAAGGACTTAGTAAAAACTGGCTGGCATATTTCACAACATTTAATTCTTTTATGCGTGCTTGAAATGAGCACAATATGATCCTTGTCAGTTGATTTGCATTAAGTGATTTTTTTCATTTCAGCTAGGGAGAAATTGAGAAGAAACATCCATTGAAAGTACCACATCGCTTCTTAGAATATATTATAAAATGCTAATAGTTTATAGTGTATGAAAATGTGTAGATTTTGAATACAAAACTATGCGGAAATGGATGACTCTTCTCCCTGAACTCATGTGGTGGGAAATGGGGCTATTGGAGCCTATGTTACTGTAAATGCGGGAGGTCTTAGAATAATCATTGCTGTAAGTATATGCTTCATGGTAACACTGTGCTTTGTTGTTTCCTTTCAGCAAAAGGGATTTGAAGTGAAACAGACCTCATTTCAGATACAAATTGGCCTCATAAACTTGAAGTAATCCTGAAGCATTCTCAATATATTAGTTACTAGATTCAATTGACTACAAAGTTTTTGAGAATTCAGATTTGCAGTCATCCAGAATGTCTTACATCCTCTCCCAACAGACTGTAGGGACGTAGAACACCGACCAGTAAGAAAAAGGATCTCTGTCCTCTGAGGAAGCTTGACCTCTCCAGCCAGTGGGTAGATAATGTGTTTTGTAGGTGCAGATGCCTTTGGGGAAATAGAACATTATCAAAAGCAATTTTTTAAAAAATATCATTTTTATTTTATGTGTATGTGTGTATTGCCTGCATGTAGGTAAGTGCACCCATGTCTTGCAATGTCTGCGGAGGACAGAAGAGGCCATCAGATCCCCTGGAACTGGAGTTACGGACAGTTGTTAGCTGCCATGTGGGTACTGGGATTCGAACCTAGGTCTTCTGCAAGAACAACCAGTGTTCTTAACCATTGAGCCATCTCTCCAGCCCCAAAATCATTGACTTGTTTTGTTTTGTTTTGTTTTTGAGACAGGGTCTCCCTGCAGCCCCAGCTGTGCTGGAACTCACTATGTAGACGAGGCTGGCCTTGAACTCACAGAGATCCGCCTGTCTCTGCCTCCTGAGTGCTGGGATTAAAGGCGTGTGCCACCACACCCGAGCAATTGGTTTTAATGCTATATGGAGCATGTATTGTGTACAGCCAGACTCATAACCTTCTTAGTGGCATGTCTTCAATAAATAAGCAAAATAAGAATCATTACTCTCTTAATGGAATTAAAGATTTAAAGAGCTTCAGAAACTTGTGTCACTCAGGCCCCATGCATGGAAAAAAAAAAAAAAAGACAAGATTTGACCCACACAAAAGACTTTAGATGATGAGTCTGAAATTCAAAGAAAAAAAAAACAGTGCTAGAAATACAAATGTGAGTAGCATCAAAATTATTGGTAGACAGTTTAGCTTTCAGAACTGTGTGTCTTCTTTTGATCTATTTTGGGTGTTATTTGGAGTACACAAACACTGAAAACTTGTATACTGTTCCAAGTTTTGGTTCAGTTCTTCAACCTTAGATGAATTAGTATAAGTCAATTTTGTGTGTTCAGGTTCCTGAACAGATTTTTTTTTTTTTTTTTTTGTTTTTTTGGGAAAGGGTCTCTGGTGAGACCAGGCGGGCCCCAAACTCAAAAAGATCTGCCTGCCTCTGCCTCCCAAGTGCTGGGATTAAAAGCGTGCATCACTATGCCCGGCCCTGAACAGATTTTTTAAAATCTCTTTCTCAGAAGAGATGGCTCAGTGGTTAAGAGCACTGACTGCACCTAAGGGGGTTGATCCTTCTTTCCTCTACTGGGAAATCCCAGTCTCCATTGAGAGCATTATGATAGTCTAGAATGTCTACCTCCATCAGAGGCAGAGTTCAGATTTCTCCCTCTGTCTCTACACAGTGCTAGCGGATGCAGCAGGATGCATCGTCCTGGGTCAGGACACTGGTTGCCATCATCTGTAGGGCAGAAATCAGCTCCTTAATTTTCCGCTGGTATAAACAGAAGTCAGGCATTGCACTTGATCAGTGTCTTAGTTCATTTAATGTTGCAGTAAGAAAATGCTTGAGGTGAATAACTTGTAAAGAGTCTTGTTTGGCTCACAGTTCTGATCCCAATATATTGGTAAGGGCCCTCTAACAGCATTACAACACTGCAGACAAACAAAAGGGAAATGGCTGAGTACAGAAGGGGTCAAGCCTTGTGTTATAACCACTCATTGTTGAAGGAACTACTCCATCCCTGTAAGAGACCATCCACTCCATGAAACCAACATTAGTCTATGAAGATAGAGTTCCTGTGTCATATTTACCTTCCACTAGGCCTACCTCTTAAATGTTCTACTTACTTCACCACCACCACAAGGACATGTGATTCAGGAATAAACCATATCCAGAGGATTGCTATTAGGGTACAGCAGTATTGTCAGAAGGGCTTGGACTGCTTTGCTAGTCCTTTCTTGCTCCTTTGATAGCGTTCCTTTGAGTTTGCTTTGTTGGTGGTTCTAGTTTATGGACTTCATGGAGCTCAGGATATATGGAACATAAAGAAAACCTGGCGAACTTACCCCTGTGTAGTTCCTTAAGTCCTGAATCCCCAGTGGGCTCTTGTAGAAATTTCAACATCACACATTACTCATATTTGTTTCAATCAGCATTTTTAATTATACTTAGAAATAGCCCACCTTGCCCAGAATAAAAGTCCTCATCTTTTTTTTTTTTTTTTGATTGGATAAAATAATTTTTGGTAAGGAAGAGGGACCAGTTGAAAGTTAGAGATGGAAGATCTACATAATGAAGGCAAAGGGATGAAGAACAAAGATGGAGATTATTTGAGGTGATAGACAATTATCCTAATATAGTCAGGATACATGATATAATCAGTATACTGTAAATATTATGTCAGTTAAAAACAAAACGTTTGTTTTAAATTTTTATGGGCTGGAAAGATGGCTTAGGGATTAAGAGAATTTATTGCTCTTGCAGAGGCCCCAGATTTAATTCTCAACAGCCACATGGCAGCTAACAACCATCTGTAACTCCAGTTCCAGGAGAATCTAACACC